TAAACAAACTACTGGTATATTTTAAATCTGACACATGGGCAAACTTTCTCTGTTTATCGGTCAAACTCATCGCCAATGCCATAATCTCAAAATTACCAAATATTGCCTCATGTATCAGCCTCTCTGTTATATATCATTCTCTAAACATGACTAAAATGTGTCCACTGTCAGCCATATATTTAGAGTTCTGAATAAATAACCAACCAACTTGATAAATTCAACTTTAAGATTTAAAACCATTTAAAGCAGATTAAATGAACATGATCTCAGCACTAGTAATTCACATAGCCTATACTGTGCATGTCTGACCACACACACACACACACACACACACACGTGTGCCGTTATCCCGATCAACTTCAGAGTATATGAATACTAATATTATGAAATCTGATCACATATTAAAAACCATAACCACAAACTACATCCCCACCCCTTCTTCCTGTCGCCATTACACACTCAGTCACTCACACACTCACTGAGCAGCAGTCAGTGAGTTTAAATGTATCAGTGCAGTATAGCTGCTGTAATGAAAGATTGTGACGTCGATGTGTAACAATAAAAGTCAAACACAAACTCACCCGCGCGCGCACGAGCCGAATCCCGTCAGCTGCCACACACACACTGCTCAAGTCAGCTCGTGCTGGAGGATAGACACAGTGATGATGAGTGTAACACAAAGGCCCTTCACTCTTGTTTATGTCCAGTCGAGTGTGTGTGTGTGTGTGTGTGTGTGTGAGAGAGAGTGTGTCTGTTAAACACAGACGGGGAAAGAAACTCACGCCGTACGTCACCAGCAGCAGAGTCATGTGACTGGATGCGTCACTGGCATCCGAAGCCCTGATGATCAGCTCATGAATATAAACTGATAATGATGAGTAATTAAGATTCACACGAAGTGACTCACTCATTGTCATCGGTGAAAAGTTATGTCTGCGAACGGAAACACGAGTGAAAAAGTTTGAGGGAAGTTCAAATAACAGTGAAGTAACAGCAATTAAGCTGGTGTCATTTGTTTCTGAGGCTTTGCTAAAGGTCAAGTGAGGTAATACGAATGCTGCAGAAATAGGCTTGTGCACAGGGCTCCTGAAACATTGATTCATGTATAAAGACTGTACATAACAACATTATGCATGCTTTTATAGAGACTGTGTTGTTGTCTTGATTATTGGGTCTATATAAGCAAAGTAAATATTATGTCAAAAATATTTACATTTGCTCATTTTGCAGACGCTTTTATCCTACGTACTTTTAAAAAGTATAAAAATATTTACTTTCAGCTATCATTTTCCTGCCCAGAGTAGATTTATACTTGATAATGCTGCAGTTTTCTTCTAGAAAACAAACTTTGTTGTATTATTTTCCTGTTATCACTGTGAAGCTGCTTTGATACAATCTCTATTGTAAAAAGCGCTATATAAATAAAGGTGACTTGACTAAAATCAAAATATTTGCAATTCAAATGTATGCAATGCTTTTTACTATAAATATACATTTAAACCATAACAAGGGCATCAGAGAATCAAATAATCATGATTAATAGCCTATAATCATCTTTAGAGAGGTTTCTGGCTAGTCTTTAGAAAGCACAATGAAACAAACATGTAGGCTAGAGAATTTGACATTAGTTTGTTTGTTTGTTTGTTTATTTGTAACAAATTGTATTATTTAGGATGCATCATCTCGTTTTCAATGGGGTCATAATACACAGAAGTTTGTTAACATAACACAAGACAAAACAACAACAGTCACCTCATTCAAAACAACAAACTCATCCCTACAGAATAAACACATATGAATGTTTGCTAAATATAAACATTGCTGTATCATCTGAAACTAGCAAAGCCCGTTTCAAAACAAACCATTTTTGAAGTCAAAGATCGTACATTAAAAGGCCATTACATTATAGGCCAGTAGCCTACATTATCCCAATGCGCAGGAGCCTTACACATAGGCCTACTGCTTTCTTCCCAAACACTTTCGCTATTCAAGAAGAAAAGCATAATGTGAAGAGTGTTTGTGATATGATGAATATGATATCAGATGCTGTCGCGGATAATTAGGGTCGTTAAATGTAGGCCTACACATTTGAAGATAAATTGCAACCAGTGAAGATGCCTTCTAATATTGAGCGGAGACTATTCGAGTAAATCATACGATGGTGTGTCAAACATCCAATTACAAATCTGCAGCTTACTGTAAACTGTAGTAAGAGGGAAAAGATTGGCTTTAGATGCATACTGATAAGCTACATACGCATAAAGCAAAAATGGTAATATAAGTTGCAAAGCAAGTTTAATGTGAAACCATTTTTAGATCGACACAATACACTCGTTCCAAATTCGGGAATCCAGTCATAAGCCCAAATGTTATATGTATATAATTAGATTTACTCTGTGCAAGTATGTGCCATCATTACAGATTATTGTTAGATTATTAGATTTTAATTTAAACATACGCTTTGTTCCAAAGACCATGGTATGAGATTTAGCTTTAATTTAAAGAATAGAGATTTAGCTCTATTCTATGTAATAATGCATTAGAATAGAGCCAATCTTGCTGTCACGGGCGGTTGTATAAACACACGAAGAAGAAGATGAATGCAATAGGCTAATATTTAATAAATCCAACGGGTAATTCGAACAGGAACCGAGCGACACACGGAGACGTCCGCAACAGACGACACCATTGAACTGAAACAGAACTGAACATGAAACGATGCTGATCGATGAACATAAGTGTCCGACGAAACACAAAGAGTCCAAACAAACGTGATTGTGTGACACTTGCAGAGCATTAACATCTGATTAGAGAATATTTTGAATTTGAGTTAAGTGAGGTTTTGAAGTATGACAGTATGGTCTGCATAAAGATGAGAAGAATAGTGTGAAAACGCAAAAGGAAGATCATCAATGAAGATAGAAAAGAGAAGAGGACCCAACGCTGAGCCCTGTGGTACGCCTCTTTCTGGGATAAATGCATCAGATTGTTTCCCTTGAAGAACAACACGTTGTTTTCTGTAGAGTTAAACCACAATAAAGTATTTTGAGACAAACCAACTGCATAAAGCGTATCTAATAAGAAGTAATGATCACCTAGATCAAAAGCCTTCTTAAGATTAATAAAAATAGCGCCTGAAAATAAAATACACTGTTAGTCAACTTTAGAAGAGCACTAGTTGTTGAATAATTAGGCCTTAAGACAGATTGAAGAGGTGATAAAATATTATTATTTTCTAAATACTTTGATAACTGATAGGGGTGTAACGATACCCTCGGGTCACGATTCGATACACGATACTGAACTCATACCATATTATTGCGATACTCCATGACATATGATACAAGGTCAACAAAATGTACTGTGGCTTAAATGCTAACATTTTTTTTTCATTGTGTGTGTGTGTGTGTGTGTGTGTGTGAATAGGCTTGGACTTGGTGCCTATTAAATGTTTATATATATATATATATATATAATTATATATATTATATATATATAATTTTTTATACATATTTGTGTACCGGTGCTCCGGATGTCCAGTCCGCCCCTGATCAACATTACATTAACAAGAAATTCATTTCTTTTCTCGTCCAACAGCATTCCAAACATAATATGTTTCCTATCAAAAGTGGGCAGTGAATAAATCATTGATTCCAACCAATAAGACATATTTTCCCCAAAAGTATTTGAAGAAACACAAGGAAAAAAAGATGATCAGTTGTCTCTATGTCAACCCCAATGACAAAAAATACAGCTATTTTCTTCAAAATTAAACCGTTGTCTTAAACATTCACTTGACCGTGGGTATACCCCATTAAATATTTTAAAATGAGTTTCCTTAGCTTTAGGAGCCACTGGAAAGCTAATACTGTGTTCGCAATTTTTTTAATAGATGGTTTATCATAAGCGTGCAAAACACAGTTATTATCATAGACTGTAAAGGTTATTACAGAAAGTCCCATGTATTCTCTATAACTGGCGCCCCCTGCCGGCGCTGGAGGACCAGCTCTTTCACAGTAGATATGGCTGCGTCATTTATCTAGCGATCTTATTATTCACAATATATCACTGCCATCTTGTTGCTTTTTACACTTTACATAATAAAAATATTAATGACACAATCTTGGTTACACTTTAAATGTATAAATTACAATGTAACACGGACACATTAAAATAATATGAACTACATGTAGGATTGGGTTTGGGTTGAGGGTTGCATGTAATTATGCATACTTTACTTATTACTATAGTACCTACATGTAACACGTGTAACGAGGACACTGCATAAAGTGTTACAGAATTTTCATTACAAGTTATTTTATTAAGCGTGCTTTTGCCTCTCACCTACGGAAGCGTATTGCATTCACTTGAAGAAAAAAATCTACTTTGTTTTTCTGAATTAACGATTTAATTATCTCAAAAACTCAGAAATTCAGAAAAACAGAGCAAAAACTTTTTTCCATGAAAAATTATCTCGTAATTCTGAGATAATTAACTCATTAATTCAGAATAACAGAGTAGATTTTTTTTTTATTCAAGTGAATGCAATACGCTTCCGTACATTGTATCTTTATTTATTAAGAATATATTGTGAGATATATAAATTATTTGCTATCGTTTTACATTATTTTTGCCTCTAGTTGTAGATGCTATTTTACTTTGTAATGAAATAATAAAATATATGCAGAAATGAATGAACTCTGAAACTGCAGTAATGATCTCTGACCTGTAAAGGGCGCACAGTAGCTGGACGCATGCGCAGGAGACCAGTTCAGCGTTCTTTTTTTTTCTTTCTTTTTTATTAATATAGATAATTCAAGTACAAACAATTACGGCCTAAATCAACGATCATGCAGTTGTATTCATGTTGATAGATCACTTAGAAAAAAGAACATAGAAGAAGAAAAAAAGAAAAAGAAAAGGGGTCAGTTCAGCGTTCTGATTGGCTGAACCTTGAGACGTCGCATTCGTTCATTGGATGGCGTGGCAAGGTCATGACTTCGGTGCGCATGCGCACACTCAGTTCCCAGCGCGGTGTCAATGTGGGGCGAAAAGCAGCAGATCTGAACGCTTGCAGAAGATTTTACACTCGGGTTCAAGGCTTTTAAACATCGGATCGCGTGTTTTATCGTTGTTTAAACAGAGGAAACATCATGACGAGCAGCTCAAAGCGGAAAGACGAGGTTCATGTGGTCAATGGTGGAGTGAAGCAGTCCTCATGGAGCAAAGCTATCAGCTGTAAAGCAGTGTGGGAAGAGAAGGTCTGATCTATACACTCTCAGTCTCTCACACTGCTATCGTGTGTGTGTGTGTGTGTGTGTGTGTGTGTGTGTGTGTGTGTGTGTGTGTGTGTGTGTGTGTGTGTGTGTGTGTGTGTGTGTGTGTGTGTGTGTGTGTGTGTGTGTGTGTGTGTGTGTGTGTGTGTAATGTGGTGTTCACTGAGTAGGGTTCAGGGCTTTAGGGTGTCTTGTGTAGGGATTGGGCTGTTTAAAGGAGATTACTGTGGCTGCCTCGTGCTGATCCACATTTATTATTATTACACATATATATATATATATTTAAGAATTATGTATTATAATTATATATTATCATGTGTATAAGTGCTGTAAATCGATTAAAAAGTTAACCAATTAATCGCAATCAGTCGCACATTATATTAAAGTTGTAAATATATATTTTTAGAATATATTTTATTGTTAATATGAATTCTATATTTGATCTTTTTAATTTATTATAATTTCACATTTAATCTCCAAATTAATGTAGAAACGACATGAAGACAGTAGCCTATATTTTAAATATTTGTTTATTGGCATCTTTTTATGAAAATACTAATACTGTGACTGATGTCTCTATGAAATTGATGTCCCCCCATTAATGAACATTAATGACAGACAGCAGTGGGTTTATTAGGCTGGCGTCACTAGTGATCTGACCAACATGACACACATTCTCTCAGCTCTTTACGCTCATTTAGGCTAACTCATGTCACTGTGCTTACGAGGATACTCGACAAAACGGCCATATTTTTGTGTGTTTGTGTCCATTTAAGCTGTCTGGAAGGGCTTTCCCATCATCACTGCACATTAAACATGTTTTACTGGACTGTAATACTTCTAAGAGACTTTTTCTTTGAACTAATCTTAAACATCACATTTAGTTATAGTTTTGAATAACTAAACCTTGCTCTCACAGAAATTGGAATGGCATTAAAAATGAAAGGGAAAAAAACTAACTTGCATGCGTTTCTCTTGTTCCTTAATTCTTCTCTTTTCTTTCCTTGCAGGATGAGTTTTTAGATGTGGTCTACTGGTTCCGCCAAATCATCGCAGTCATACTGGGCGTAATATGGGGTGTGGCTCCTCTGAAAGGGTTTCTGGGTATCGTCATGTGAGTACTGAAGTCCTGGACCTGAACACTTGATTACATCATACAATCATGCATGAGCTTAAGTGGTGTGTGTGTGTGTGTGTGTGTCCTCCAGATTCTGTGTCATCAACGCAGGCGTCCTGTACGTGTACTTCAGCAGTTTCCAGCAGGTGGACGAGGAGGAGTACGGGGGGACATGGGAGCTCACCAAAGAAGGCTTCATGACTTCATTTGCTTTGTTTCTGGTAGATATGTTTGTCTTTCTCCAGCTAAACCTGTTATACTGTGTTTGGACTGATGCTTTATAAGGTCAGCGAAAATAACATGGAACTCCAAAGCATGACCTTTAGGGCGTTTTCACACCTGAAAGTCCGAACCAAAGTTCACATTTTGATACATTTTATACTTTCAGAATGTTTTGGTTTGGTTTCACACTGCAATTATGCGAGCGCACTAAAGAACTTTACGAGACATACTTGCGTCCTGTCGTCATCCTCTATGTGGGCTGCATCTTGACATTGATTGGTTTGTAAATGGACGTGCGTCTGACGTCGGCGTGTTGTCAATTCGGCGGGTAACTTTGACAACATGAATCAACATACGCATATCGTTGCAACTATATTGGGTAAGTGTTACCAAAACCTCGTCTCCTCCTCTCCCCATGTGCTACTACGGCTCATTTTTCCTGCCACCTTCTGTTTTTTTCGGCTATACGGGAACCACCGGAACTTCCTGTAAAAGGTCTGAAAGTCCGAACCATACAGAAATGCTTTCACACTAGAAACGAACCAAACCTTTGTTCAGTTTGATCCGGACCGAGACTATCTCTTTTCGTCGGACCAAATTTCATCTGTATGGTCCGGACCGTGGTTTCACACCTGTAATTTTGATTCGGACCAAACTGAAAAGTCCGAAAGTCCGGACCAAACAAGGTAGGTGTGAAAGGGCCCTTAGAAGGAAAACTGTAGATCAAATATATCTGGAAAGTTCGTAGGGCCTTTGCTGCGTACAATCTACACTAGGGCTGTATTGTCCTAGTCGATTAATTGGTCGATACGTTCTGGTTCGACCAAAATTCTGATTGGTCGATTTTTTTTCCCCGCGCTCATTTCATCAGTTTTGCCGCGCTGGCGCGCTCATCTCATCAGGTGGAAAGCACTAACTGCTAATGGGGGTGTTTTCAGAGTACCCTTGTTTCACAGGTAACAGTCTGTCTTCAGAACACCCCCCTTGTTTTCACCTTTTTTGGATTAGCCCAACCCAAGAGAGAACGATAAGTCGGCTATTAAGGTTTGATGCGGAATATTATTTATTTAATTGTGAGAGCGTTTAATAGTCAGTCCTCTTCTAACATGTCAACAACAAAGAAATCGACAGTGGCAGCTAGGGATGTCAACGATTAATCGCCGATCGATTAATTGTCGATAACACGTTTAATCGATAAACCTTATCGATCATCGATTAAGCAGGTTCATGCGCGTGCGTGCTGCTCAACCGCGAAACATGTAAGCGAGCGCGCCGGAGTTATGTTTGGGACTATTTTACACTTTCATCATGACTATAAGTTTGCGTGTGCATTCGCTGCCTTTTGTTTTGTGCAAATGTAAGTTGTAATAGTTTATTTTGTGTGTGCCTATCTATATCTGATTTATCTCATATTGGATGCATTTGGTTAAGAATTGAGGCAGCGTGATCTTTAGCGCGCGCAGCTCAAATGGCAATGCACGACTAATAACGACTATTGGGACTGTCATATTATATAACATTATAAAGAGAACAATATTGTAATAAAACATTGTGAATTATTTGGGTTTAGTTGCCGTGTCGCGTTGTTCCAGGAAGAGCGCGTCCACAACATGAGTCATTCTGAATGGCACGTAACTTAGTTCAAGTTCACTTGTGCATTCACGTCATTTTGTGCAGATATAATTTGTAATATTATGTTTATTTTGTATATATCTGATTAATCTCATAGGATGCGTTTCTTTGAGTTAAATAACGTGCTAGCAAAGTGCTCAACGGTTAAGTTATTTATTCAGCGCGCGCCGCTCAAGCAGAATGCACGACTAATAATAACGAGGATTAATTTGGGACTGTCATATTACATAACATGAGAACACTATTTTATTAAATCGGTGTGAATTCATTGGCTTTAGTTGCCGTTTTAAGTGCGTTGTTCCAGGAAGAGCACGCGTCCACAAGTCACACATTCTGACAAGCGCATCTGAGGCGGCGTTGGTGACACGTTGTATTAGTCGTTATATTTGATTATTAAATATTTATTTTAATTCAGGGCCTGAATTTCGTTTTGGAAAATGGGGGGGAAATCCCCCCTTAGGCCCCGTTCACACTGCAGGCAAAAGTGGCCCAAATGTGATTTTTTTGGGGTCAAGTGACCAGGTCAGATTTCATCAGTGGTAATGAAAGCCCTAGACACAACAGACACAGACAGTAGCCTAACATTAAAAACTTGACTAGATATGGAGAACAGCGATGAAGCGAGTCAATGAGAGTGAGGTGTTAGATCTAAGTAGTATATGGGGAGATACTTCAATTCAAGCTAGAAGGACCTACCGTAACCGCTCCGTTTTTGAAAAAATTGCACACGAAATGGAAGAACGGGGACACAGGAGAACAGCGTCTCAGTGAAACTATTCACGTCATATTCCCACCACTCCTGGCTTCGTCTACGCCTCCACACAGATCTCTGTAGTGGATTTGCAACCATAAACCCGCAAAAGTTTCCATTACACAAACATTATGAAATAAATGCGAATATGCTTACTTCCTCCATAACCTCCCGAACTTTAGTGCAACCGCGTGCTGCGTCTGATGTCATTGTTATTGTTCTTTTGCACATGCCGGTTAGTTTGAAACCTCAAACAGTTCACACTGCAATCAGATATAGGTCACATTTTAAAAGGTAATGTGAACAGCCAATCAAAAAATCGGATCTGAGCAAAAAATCAGAATTGAGCATTAGGACTTGCCTAATTAGCATTAGGAATCTTAGATGATTAGATTTTTTCCAAACAAAAATTACATTTATCTTGCCGAAATGTTTGCGCTCATTGCATTTTTACAATGGGGTAATATTGTTGTTAAGAGTTTACACAACACAAGGAAGCTTGATTTAAAATGTTTAATTAAATTGAAAAAAGTAGCACAAATAAATACAATAGAATAAAGATACAAATAAAGACAAATAAAGAGAAGTTTTTCAATGGGTCTAACTTCATATAGGCCTACAGAAACTGAATAAAGTAATCAAATGGAAAATAACACTGGGTAGTATTTTAGTCCTGAATAAATTAAATATATATAGGCTATTAATCCTGATTCCTTTACCTTAAAGCTATCTTTTGTTGTTTTGACAACTAAATTAATGAGCTAGTGCACGGATCCTGTGTTCATTATACTGGCATGCGTTTTATGCTTATTAAAAGACAAAACCGACTATGTTTAGAGTATACTCACGAAGACCAAAATTGACACAATTTTGCGTGTTAAAACAATATAATCCGCGAAAAATAACTTTTGTTACTGGCCAGCTGTTTTTGAGGCGGATTTTCTATGAATGTGCGCATAGAAAATAATCTCAGAAAGCGCGCGAGCACTGATTAGTTTAAAATCGCTTGAATGTTTAAACTGGTAAGACTTAAAAAGACGTGCAAATGGTAAACCTCAGTCACGATGCACTGCTGGCCCGATTGTGCGAGTGAATATTGCGTCATGTCCCGACTCCTAAACGCGAGTGTGTATTATCGCCGCAGCGCTTGATGCTTGCCTTGCACAACACATTATGAGAGAAGAGAAAGAAGACGCGGCACGCTAAACACTCACGCTGTTTGTGAAATTGCGCCTGGCAGATAGTTGTTAAAAGAATGATTTGATTTTATAATCTGTGTGGATTACGATTGCGGGAATTTCCTGCATTATAAATGGGAGACCTGTGGGAATTATTAGAATTATGCGCAATACCCGCAATCCCGCGCCGAAATTCGAGCCCTAATTTAATCATCAATCACATCGAAACATTTTACAATCCTACTAGCCCTTTATTTAGATTAAAACCATTGTCATTAATTTGTTGAGGAACATAGCGGTTTGAGCAGCATTTGCAGACGCTGTCATGCTGTTGGCCATATGCACTGCAGCAGACGCATATTGCAGTATTAAGGCTAACGATTAATCGATTAATTGATCGTTAATTTATACGACGATCGATCATGGGAATTTGTGAAAATTGACATCCCTAGTGGCAGCATTTTGTTAAAATTGATAACGGGAAAAAGGTCGAATGCAAAGTGTGCAAGCAACCACAGCTCGACGACAAACATAACATATCATCTAAAAGTGGTAAGCTCACTTGTCTGCGTTAGCTTGCCCTGTCTATTTTGAGTAGGCTATATGAACATACCAGAATTGGCATATTTCAATGTTTTAGTGTGATAACCTAACTTTTTTATTTTTTGTTTGGAGCCTAATGCGCAATTGCGCTGTGCTAGTTTGTGTTAGTTTTGAGCCTAAGATGCTTTATTTTTCAGTTATGCACTTTATTTCGTTTCTGCTCTTGATCTGGTTTGTTTAATAAATATTCTTTTTTTTTATTAAAGTGTGTTTATTAAGAGTAAAAGCTTTAAGTTTATAGTCTATTCGTGTCTCGGCCGCGAAGCTGATCTCTATGTTCAGCCTGTGCGAGGACATGCACTGGGGTGCGTTTCCCGAAAGCATCGTTAGCCAACTATGGTCGCAAGTTGGTCGCAATTTCCATTGAACTCTATTGGTAACGACGGAACTTGCGACCATAGTTGGCTAACGATGCTTTCGGGAAACGCACCCCAGAGCGGCTGAAATGATAGTGTCTGACAGTTATAACATATGACAAAAATAATTGTCTAAATTATGTTGATATTCCTCAACAGTTCTTGTGATGATATCACTAGTTGACATAGTACTATTTTCTGAAATCATAGGCTATGATATTGCGCAGGTGCGCGTGATGCAATGCTGTCAGAGCCGACAGACTCGTGTGTCAGACTCATTTCAGTGCAAAATAATTCGGTCAAAAACGATGTCATATACTGCAAATAGCCTACTAGTTTTTATGTTTATTTATAATTCATTTAGGCGGACAACAAGGCTACCAAATACTGCGCGCAGCTAATTAATTTAACTTTTTTTTTTCTAACGTCATTTTTAGTCGATTTTTAGTCAAATGTCAGGACTTCAGTCGACCAAGATTTTCTTTGGTTGAATACAGCCCTAATCTACACTATTAGCTATTCTATGTGAATTTGTTGTAATGTAGTTTATTCCTGTGATCAAAGCTGTATTTTCAGCATCATTACTTCAGTCTTCAGTGTCACATGATCCTCCAGAATCACTCGAACGTTGGTGTCGGCTGGGTCGGGGCAAAGAAAGTTGCGCTTGAACACTGCAAAAGCTACAGCGACGGCCAGCTAGCGCGTTCAGCGCCTGCGCGAGGGATAATAACCGTCCAGCGCACAGCAGTCTATTCGGCACGAGGGATGCTAACACAAACAACACCGCGGCCGTTTACCATCTAGGCTCTGTTTACAGCTGGTGTTAAGATGTGTTTCGGTCGATCGGATCACTAGTGGACGACGCTAAACACAGGTGTAAACGGGTCTAAAATGTTTTGAGCTCGTCCACTTCCAGAGGGAGAAAACACATTCGACCGGATTGCTTTAGTAGTGTAAACGCTCATGTGAGCGAATGTGTTCAAACAGCCACAAAAGACCGTCTTCTCTCCGTCTACTGAACTAATGCGTAACATTATGGGACGAGCTCTAGACAGACGGGGTTTAAACTGTCGGCTGGAGACACATGTTTGGTTTGAAGATGAAAAACATATCAAGCACAATGTTCTCTCGCCATTCCTGATCTCTAACACACACACACACACACACACACACACACTCACAGCGTTCGGCTGGTCTTGTGTCTCAGAGCAGAAACTAAAGCTGATTCTCTCCGTGTGTTTCCCGTCGTCTCCGGGCGCGTTCATGTGTAAATTACACGAGCTTATTTTATCCATTAGATCGAAAGATCTGAAAAGCCCATACATTTCCCCGCCCATAGTCCCTCCGCTTGAAGAAATCAGGACAGAAGTGGTGGAAAGTGGACAAAAGAGACGATTAAAACACCAGGTGTGAACAGGAATGTGTCTCCCTCGTCCACTTGTGATCCGATCCACCAAAAACAGAACAGGGCCTATGAAGCTTAACTTGTGTTAAAGGGTTAGTTCACTTAAAAATGTAAACTCTGTCAGTAATTACTCTCCCTCATGTTGTTCAACCCCATAAGACTTTCGCTCATCTTCGGGACACACATTAAGATATTTTTGATTAAATCTGAGAGCTGGATCACTCCTCCATAGGCTTCTATTGTAATTGCATCTGCCGGCCCAGAAAAGTTATTAAAAACATAGTTAAAATAGTCCGAGTGACTACAGCGGCTCAACCTTAAGTTTATCAAGCGACAAGAATACTTTTGTGTGCAAAAAACAAACAAAAATAACGACTTTAGCGCCGCATGAGTAAGAACTGAGGAGATGACGCACACGGTAGAAATGAAAGCATATTATAATTATAAATGCAGAGTATAATCGCAGCCTTCGCCAAATCGCGTGTGGTTATTGCGATTAATAGTGCAGCCCTACCACATACGGCCCTGTCATGATGAGAATATATTTGTGTATTGGAACGCACCAAAAAAAGATGTAGGAAAATTTAAAAGCGCCTTTTTTGCGTCTCCTCTCGTCTTAGTCGTTTGCTTGCTTCGCCACTTTTGTTTTTCTTCTCGTCCGCTGGTTTACGAGGCTCAACGGCCAATCAGAGGGATCCGTTTTCCCAACGCCGGATCAACGCGTGCAATTGACCCAATTGACCCTTCGCAGGGAGCTTGATTGACAGGTGATCTGACCAATCATACTTCGCCATCCGCCATTTTGTCCGACAAAGCAGTCAGGAGAGTTAGTAGATTAACATGGGAGGATTTGAACTGATGCCGTTCTGCGGTTAAAACAACATTCCTTCTGATGTTCATTCATGTTTATTTGATGCTATAAATGAACTAGAAGGAAGAGATGATCGGATCACGAGCAGCTTTAACTGATGCTCTACAGCGATCTGTCACGACACATTAGAGAGCCACAAAACGGTATTTATTCAAATAAATAAAAGACCAAGTTTGAAAGGTGAGACTTTGTTTAATATGTTTAATATCAAAAGTAACCTGGTCTGTCCCGTCTGTCAGCGTGTTGTCAGTCCGCGATGTATTTTTCACTGCGTGAGAACATGGTGTGTGTGTGTGAGAGAGCAGCGTAGCTTGTCGGACATAGCGACAGTAACTAGGGGGGGGGCGGGTCTTTGCGAACGGTCAAGGCCGGACTTAAGCGGAAACGAACCGCAATTCTTCTTTGACAAATAGAAAGTTCGAAAGAACAGCAATAGGCTCCACGCACGAACGCTGCTGACGTACTTCCGGTAGAATCTCAGCCAGTGTCTTTACCTCCGCACAGCGCGTTCTATAGCGAAGTGTACTAGCGGACGAACTTAAATAATACAATTTATTTTCCTCAGAAACGAGACAATGATTTTAGAAACTGATTCGCTAGTCTGATTTCGCATGTTATGAGAGATTACTCACCCTCAAAGTTGTCGATGTAGCTCGAAATATATAATTTAATGCCCTTTTTTTTTCTTACTCTTATGTGTGACAGCTAACTGCCTCACAATATTGTTGACATCATTCACGTTAACCGCTGGAAGTTCTTGTAAACAGCGAGTGTAATTTGCCATTATCTCCACCTAATGCAAAAACGGCTTGCGACGCAGCACCGGATGTGGCAAAACACGGAAGCGATCGTGCATAGAGCCGATTCTTCTTTGAAAATGTATATCTTTTATTACCAGTGTTGGGGAAAGTTACTTTTTAAAAGTAATGCTTTACAATGTTGTTACTCCCTAAAAACGTTACTAAATGCGTTACTTATTATTGAAAGTAATGTTACATTACTCTTGTGTTCCTTTTTCTCATCTGGGCTTGGCTTGATTGTAAAAAACCCCCAAAAAACTCAAACATTTTTGGCAAAATGTAAAGGCCCTTTGACAGCATAAGTGAAATGAAAAAGACTGGAGACAGGAGAGCTGTCAGTCAATAAATGGGAAAAGTATGTATTTGAAAAAGCAACTCGGATATTTTGTTGTCAATTTAAAAGTAACGCGTCACTTTACTAGTTACTTGGGAAAAAGTAATTGATAACATAACTCATGTTACTTGTAATGTGTTATTCCGAACACTGATTATAACAATAGATTCTTTACTGTCACTCTGATCAATTTAATGTGTCCGGAATTAAAAATGTTAAATTCCTTAAATGTACTGACTGCAAACTTTTGAAAGGAGTGGCGTAAGAAAATTGCGTGGAGTGGCGTAAGAAAATGTTAATATTAGCCTAATTTTTACATGGTAGGTAAAATTAAGTTAAATCAATAAAGTAAATTTTCGGAGTATTTTACATATTTAAAAAGTAGCACAGCTTGCCCCACTTTTCATTAGGGATGTCAGAGTTTATTCCAAAATCGAAGTAAAAAAGTAAAATTTTCCATAAATGTATTTTCTTTTTTTGCATTGTTGACGGTATGTTCATGGCACATATCCAGTAAATTCTCCTCCTCATTTGAAATGTTATTAATTTTACTGTAATGAGGGAAGTCATCCAGTCTGGAAACAGTGTTATTTAATTTTTTTTTAAATCGACATTGAATTAATTCAGTACACCAAATACTAGGGCTGGGTAAAAAATATTGATTTCTCGATATTAATCGATTCTTATTTTTACGAACCGATATCGATTCTTAAATCTCAAGAATCGATTAGTCATCCTGTTTTCATTTGATGAATGTATGGAGCATTGTAGCGAGCATCCCATCCAATAAATCGCAATAATCTTTGTGCTTTGTTACTAGTGATATTAAATAAAGTCTCAAATTTCAAATGACGTCCATTTTCTTACGAAATTCAAAAACATAAATACCGTTTTGTCGCTGTGGCGTGAGATCGCTCTGGCTCAGCTCAAGAGAAGCTCATGATCTCCTCTTCCGCCTTAATAATACCAGTTACAGCGCCAAATAAACATGAACGAGCGTCTGAAAGTGTGTTAAAAGATAGAGTACAACTTATCGAAATCCGTATCTTTCACATGGAATCGCTCAGTGTTTCAACCGTGGAAAGACGTCAGTAAAACAACTTGTAAACAATGTCATGTAACGTCACATTTACCTCAGAAAAACCATATGTGACCATAAACTCGTTAGTCAGCTAGAAAAATTAACTCTAGAGAGGAGCATTTTGCTAAATATATGCACCATATTACATATTCATTATAATTTTTAATGTTCTTCGATATTTAATGCATGTTTGAATAAATCTGGCAAGTTTTTATGACAGCCACCATTTAAATGTTTATATTTCATATAACTTTATTATTATAAAAATAAATAAGTGTAATTTAAGTGTTTGTATAGCTACAAATCAGTTCATTTTTACCTTCAATATTATAGTAGGCTACAACTGACCCCCATAGTTTACAGCATTAGTTAAGAGATTTGTTTTCCTTGAGAAAATTTGCCATGTATTGTACCTGATATCCAAAATAATCAATATTGATTATTAATATTGAATCGAATTGTGAAATTTGTGTCAATACCCAGCCCTACCAAATACAATTATAAAACACCCCACTAATTGTTGTTTTAATTGATTATGACTGGAATGTGGGCTGTGATTCCTGTTGGTTGATCATCTCTACTCTTCTCTGAATGCTGCACAGTGTCTGATAACTGTGTGTGTGTGTGTGTGTGTGTGCAGGTGGTTTGGATCATATTCTACACGGCGCTGCACTACGACTGAGGACCTGCAGGAAACCCATAGTCCTGGAGAGACTAAGACAGACATTTTATTTAATTTAAAATGGAGAGGCTGGATCGAGCCACTTTTCCGAGTCCTCTGTCTATGTTACCAGCAGCATGTGTGAGCCTTGAGGAAGAGGTGCATCATGGGTACAAGACCTTCTCGCGCCCCCAGGGGTCATTGAATTTTTAAGCTAATACTGTCCAGTGCACTGCCACGGCTAATGGGTTCATAACTGTTATTTCTGTTCGTCCTCTCTGCTTTTTCTGGCTCGAATGCCGCCGTATCGAGCGGGATTTAACTTAATTTGATGGTTTTGTTCGTTTCTTTCACGATTAGCTTCCAACACAGATTGTCTTACTCTGTTATGAACTGTCAGATACAATAGGAGTGTGTAAATTCTGTACAATTCATTTTATTGAATCCATAATGTATTAAAGAATTTCTTATGTCTCGTTACTGTAACATACTTCTCAGTATTTTATAGTGTATTCATGGAAATGTGAATGTTATGATTAATGTACCTGAGGCTGTAGAGAGACTATTTTCTGGCGGAAATGTTTTGGAGAATAAAATAAATCCTGGGCATTGTCTGCCCCACACTTTTCAACAGATCACGCTCTGATGGACATTTTATTCTTGTTCTTAATAGCTTTACAAATCCAGTAAAGTTGTTTGTTTGACTGTATTGAGAAGTCCTGGATTTCTGTCGATCTTGAAGAGATCCGCAACCATCCAATCAATTCCCCACGGACACAATCAGGCCCAGACCTGCAAAAAACAGCAAGGTTTTTAACTACTTCTAGAAAATGAAAAACAGAATATTCTGTTTTATGCTTTTAATTAAATAAAAGCCTGACACTAAATACATTTAAGTATAGACTATTCAGTCAGCGTCATGACAGGTATTCAAGCGAGGCTGTGTGAGTTTTCAATGGTGTAAAAAGCTTTATAAAGCCCCTAGATCAAATAATTTTCCACAGCGCATGTTTTTTTTTTTTGTCTACTGACATTTCTCTGAAAGGTATTTTTGCAGTGTTTCGCCAGCAGAAAAGTCCACAAAACACATTCAAAAACAGTACAACCCACTGAAGAGTATCCCTCGCACTCACAGCTTTCATTCGTTCAACATCAAAGATGGCGCTGCTGTGTGAATCATAGACAGGTGTGAATGAGGTCTAGTGGTATCGCCATGTGTCTATTCGCGAGTTTCCCGCTCGTATCTACGACATTATGGTGGCGTTCATTGTTTAACTCGTAAATGTGATCTTTCCGACATGAGGTAATAGGACATCCGCTGTGGTAATAGGAGTGAAGTAGTAACGCGTTTAAAGATCAACCAATGTATTTTATTTATTATGCTCTAATTAATAAATTGCGTCCAATTAGCTTCTTGTGGTGTCTCATTCTCTGTAGTTCAAAGCATGTTAAGTCCAGACCATACCTTACAGCGCACGAACATTGTCCATATTATTCCATATGTCCTTGAACATCACTCTTTAAAGCATGGTTAAGCACTATAAGCTCAATCCAACACATTACAATCCTATAAGCCGGTCAGCATGGTGGTTTAACACTGTCATAAACTGTGCTTCCCCACTACCAATACACCTGTTGTCTAATTACTGTCTATGCTAATTACCCACGTGCTCCCAATGTTGTCAGAGCGCCCCCAATGGACAAATATATATTTGCATTAAAATGGCTCTTACAATGAATTTACCTACATTTTTCTAGTTATGCCAAGCTCTAAAAAATAATTGAGAAGAAATTGTGAGTAATATCCTTAAACCTTATCGAGTAGCCTATCACACACAGAGAACTGGGAAATTAATGGGGAATTAGCCTGTTTGTGCCGGCTTGTGCTTGGTATTGGAGTTGAGAAGGCTAAGTCATATGTGTGTGTTTGTGATCAGTAAAACCAGCCTTGCAATGGGCTGCATATATGCATATTAATATTCATTAGCAGCAACTGAAGTCCGTGTTTAAAGTATGCAGTGTATACAAATTTTTCTCCCCGTGGTTTTTGTGTTTCTTTATAAGCCTGCCTGCATGATGACTGTGACCGTAATGTGCAGATATGAATGGATTATTGAAATTAACCCATTAATTGAGTTCAAAATAATCAGAATTTTAACAGAACTGGCTTTTTTATTTGTGTTTTTTTTACAGCGTATCATTATAAAAAAAATTATATTTTAAGTTATGTATTGTTATATATTTTGTAAAATGTTAACATTGATATTATTGAATGTATTTTATTTTCGTACTGAATTCGTCTCGTCTTTGTCGTCCTCTAGTGCTGAGTTCACACGTGCGATCATGACATCACCGTGTTCAATGACGTAGCATCATGGCGGCGCCCCACAACACCATGAAATTCTGGAAACCCGGTAAAATTCATATCGTGTATCGTGTTATACTAATATATACATATACACATATTTTGACGGGTGATATTAGTCCACAGTACGCGTATGCTGCAGCAGCTCTGTGCTGTGTGTTGATTTATGTGCAATGTTAGTGTGTATTTGATGTATTAGAGTGTTACTGCAGTGCTGCATGACTATATAACATGATCACGTGCATCATGAACCAGCAACACAACACAACACACAATACACGAAAGTTATCCCACTATAATAATGCATTAGAATGACATGGTTTGATCCAGACTCATTATTCTCTCGTAGAAGCTCAGCATTTATCCAGGATGCTCTGAACCTACTGATGCATGGCAGTAAACATGGAGCTGCTCCTGTCAGTGTTTGAACGGCTGATGTGTGTGTGTGTGTGTGTGTGTGTGTGTCTTTCAGGCTCAGAGGCTCCGGGTGTGTGTGAGGAGAGAGATCTGTCCACTGAGACCACCGGCTCGCCCATCATCTTCAACCCGCACACAGCTCTCTCCATAGAGAAACAGAGGCAGAGGCTGCCCGTCTTCAAGGTAACTACAGATGTGTGTGTGTGTGTGTGGACCGCTGTTAAAAGCAGTGTAGGCAATGTTTGTCATAAACACTTTTTGTTTTACTGGTTGAAACTAGTCTCTTCACATCCTGCTAACAATAGTCGTCTAAATATTAAATATACTTAGGCCTATATCTTTTGTGGAAGTCTCAGGACCAAAAAATGTTCGTCCAATCATTGAGTTCGGTCTGATGCGTTTGAATGGTTTAAAGTCATATTAAATGCACACAAAGGAATCGATAAGAGGAAATTTAAATAGATTTTTCATTCCCAACCCTAGTCTTCACAGCGATATTTATCAATACTGAAATATCTGAAACCGTTCCAACATCCAATACTCCTATTTTGCAGATACAGCGATACCAGCTGCGCGTTTTCTCTCTCTCTCTTTTCTCCGATGGCGAATTGACAGCTGGATACACACACTTCTGCTCTCACTCACTCAGCTTGTATTGTGCATAATTTTACTAATTCGCGCTCACACCAAAAGCTGGTGCACCACTGATCTATGGAAGCGGCGCTCTCGTAAAGCTCGCGCGAACCAAACGGAGCTGTTTTTCATGGTGTGTTGCTCTTAGATGGTCCAATACACACACTATATGTCAAAATGCCCGTCTTGGCGAGTATTCAGGTAAATACAGTCATAAATAGTTGAGAGAAATCGCATGTTGTGTAACAGTATATTGGATCAGTGCATAAACTCTTAAAGTGACAGCAGCACCTAATAAAGCAGTCATGCTAATTCGAGAACAAAAGACACAAATCACTGTAACTTTAATTATAAGCATTAATGTTTTTGATTTTTTAGTATATAAGACTATCCAGTGTTATTTTTTTACATTTAATTACTTTGTTTAATTTCTGTAGTGTTTCTTCCCCGAGTACTAGCCTACAGTTAGACCCACCTGAACAACTCAAAGCCATGTTTATTTCATTTGTCTCTTTATTCTAATCCATTTGTGCTATTTTTTTATTTGTTCTTATTTTATTTCCGACTGTTTATGGGTCTTTTTTCCTTTGTGAATTTAGTTCAGTTTCAAATAAAGCCGTCCTTCGGCGCTGTGTGAAAGCCATTACAGCAAAATTATCCAAATGATCAACAAATATGAGATGATGATGATGATAAAGATATGTATATGGCAGTTTTCCCCGTGGTATCGAATATCGATATTTTTAAAGGTATCGTATCGAAGTTAGAAATTCCAGTATCGTGACAGCACTAGTGTTCATTTACCAAAAAATTTGCCAAAAAATAGAACTTTTGGTTTATTTTGTTATGAAAAAGTAATGCAAAAGTTTTATTATAACACAATACTTTTAACAGCAACTTTTCCCAACACTTTACTGTTTGCAGTTTTCCTGTATTTATGAATGATGTTTGTTTATTGCATATCCAGCACAGAAACAACATCCTCTATGTGGTGGAGAGTTTCCAGACTGTGGTGATCGTCGGAGAAACAGGATCTGGGAAAAGCACACAAATCCCACAGGTTTGTCCGTCAGTGGATACTCGTTTACATGCAAACAAATAATCCGTTAGTAATCGGCTCAGTCGGACTGGAAAGCCTGCATGTAAACTCCTTAATCGATCCGAATGAAATTTCGATCGGATTGAAAGGGTCCGTTTATTCCTTTTCTAATCCGATCGAGAGGACATGTGAACACTTGATCGGCTTGAGAACCGAAACTGAAAGGACTGCGCATGTGCAATGATGTAGAAATAGCGTAATGAGATATGAAGCGCTTAGCATCTGTTCTTCCTGTTGAATAAAGTGTCGTATAAATGAGTGAAGTGGAGCAGGACGACCTCCCACCAGTCCTCGTTTTGGATTCTCATCCACAGACGACTGGTTTTGGGCATTTTTACTGCGGGATGAATATAATATAAGCAGGAGAGCACAGCGGTTCATTTGCTCATTTTCTCCAAATTATGACCAGAAATGGATAAATATGAAATCTGCTGTTAAAAAACAATGTAGGAGAATAGTCAGTATGCGCAAACAGTGGGAATCTCTGTATATTTGTGCAGTGTATCCCGATTTTAGGCTTGTGCCAAACCGATCACATGTTCAGCGTTCATGTAAACACTACATTCAGATTCATCAATCGTAATGAATTCAGTCCGATTGAAACAAAAGTTGTGCATGTAAAGGTAGCCAGTGAACAGTCAGTTAGTTATCCTGCTGGTCAGAGTGAGTTAGCAGTGTTTCGGTGATGTAACGTGTGTGTGTGTGTGTGTGTCAGTATCTGCTGGAGGCCGGCTGGGCTGCGGAGGGGAAGGTGATCGGCGTGACGCAGCCTCGACGCGTGGCGGCCACATCTGTACGTATAACCCTTCTCCTCGGCTCATGTGTGAGGGCGAACGCCTGCTGTAGTCTGTGAACGCATGCGTGTGTGTGTGTGTGTGTGTACAGGTGGCCGGCCGCGTAGCAGAGGAGAGAGGGGCGTTTCTCGGGCACGAGGTGGGATACACCATCAGGTTCGATGACTGCTCAGACCCACACGCCACTCGCATAAAGGTACAAACGCTCATTCTCATTCTCAAGCCCTATTCGGACGGGACTAGTCTAACATGGAGAGGTGGGGTGTGTATATATATGATATCTGAATATCAGCTCTGGATCTTCCTCAGCACTTTATACACAGTGATTGGAACAGTAATGTTGGTGTTGGTTTTATCGCATCAATTCCAGCCCGAGTCCTCATCCTTTGAAAAAGTGGATTTGCTTCGGCAGCAGAAAACAGTGTATTCTCGACATGTCGACGACACGAACTGAACTCTTCTACAACTACAGTGATTGAGGGTCAAAGTAGACAGCCAATGAAGACCATAGGCTGGCATTATGCAAATGCGTTACAAACCTACGTTGGTTCGTGCAGGAAGTAAAGCCCTATTCGGACGGGATTAGTTCAACATGGAGAGGTGGGGTGAAGTAATGATTACCACCAGAGCTTCTCTGTGATTTTAGTCCCGTCCGAATGTGCCATCGCAGTAATCATTACGGACAATGATTGAGATAAAGATTACGACGACTTTTACCTTCTGTAAGAAGCTCCGGAAAAATGACCTCAGGTGATACTAAAGTCCCTTGCACACTGAGGCCGAAATTTTTCGCACATTAAAAAATAAATACGAGCTCACGTTATGTCAATCACGCTTGCACACTGCCTCCGAAACTTCCGTCCGTCATAAAAAAAAACGAATCGGGTTCGATTTTCTGCGTTTTTCGCCTCCGTAGCAAGCAGTTTCAATGGTGAAAGGTGTTTTGACAATTCAGAGCCACCGAATCATGAATATGAAAAAACGCAAACGAAAATTTCGGACTTGGTGTGCAATGGCCTTAATCCCGTGCAAATAGACCTGCTGTAGATTTGTACGTAAATATTCCGTCATTTCCTGTTTAAAGTAAAGTAGTTTTCCGCAGTTTTCCAAGCTTGAAAAAGCATTAAGTTGCGTTCTAGCCGGTGGGACTAAACTCAAGTGTTTTCCACACACCATTCAGATCAGAAAGAAGATCGACAGCACTTGTTAGAGGCACAAAACTACTTTTAGCGTTACGCAAGTGTCTATTCCCAACATAATCCAATCTGAAGTTAATTAATACACCGTTTGACCGAACTGTTTATATACAGTCAAATCAAAATCTGTTCAGACACCTTCCACATTTCTCACATTATCAGAGTTTATTCTCTATAGTTTAGAAAATGGTAATAAAATACAACCCTGTTTCCAGAAAAGTTGGGACATTTTGTGAAATGCAATAAAATCATGAATCTGGGATTTGTTAATTCTCTTGAACCTTTATTTAACCGTCAAGTGTACAAAGGAAATATTTCCAATGTTTTCACTCATCAACTTAAATTTATTTTGTAAATATAAACAAGTTTTGATTTTGATGGCTGCAACACACTACAGAAACGTTAGGACAGAGGCATGTTTACCACTGGGTCACATGACCTTTCCTTTTAATTACACTTATTAATCGTTTGGGAGTTGAGGATACTAATTGTTGCAGTTGTGCAAGTGGAATATTTGCCCAATCTCGTCTGATACAAGACAGCCGCTCAACCCTCCTACGTACATCCGCTCAATTTTCATTTTCCTCCAGCACTACGTCTGGGTTTGCTGTGTATTCTTGGGTTTTCTCCGGTCATTTTTTTACCGGTCCAATCAGCGAACAGAGGGAGTGTCTGAGAACGATGACGCCGAGGTGCGCTAGTTTGAGTCGTCATACGTCACCACCACCAAGCGTTAGCGATTGGTTACGGCAGATCCAGAGTGGTTCTGGGCAGATCCAGTAGTTTTAGACTTCAGCAGAGGACCCGCCTTCCAGGAAGTTAACGCTTGTCAATGGAGCGAGGCCAGACTCTCTGTACAAATGAAATATAAGAGAGTCTGGTGGGACCAGGCTAAGTTTATGTTTCTGTACTATCCAAATAATGCCTCCATGTCAGTGGTACCTTCACGCACATGCGAGTCACGCATGCCGCTTGCACTGATGCCCCCGCAATACCAGGACAGGTGTTTGCTTTTGCACCGGTCGCTGATGAAAGTCTGGATGTCTTTGGGACTGAGAACTCGATGTCTGTTTCTCCCCAAAACAAGCTGACACGTAAAATGGCGGCGCGAGTGGTCGTGTAATCAGTAGCTACCGATAGTCAGTCAGATTTAACCCCTGAAATTCAAATACTAAACTCATATTCTGATTAAAAAATGAGTGGGTGTGGAAGAATGAAAAGTCGGAAAACTTTTAGTGATCAAGCAAAAGGGAAGGAACAAAATATAATCGAGGACGCAGGCACTTCACCTGAAAGGGACGGCGATGCGGGGGAAGCTAAGCTAAGCTAACAGGCGAAGGCGAACAGACTGTGGCTTACGTTGGACTTGAAACTAGTAGCAGGCAAATCAGTGATTTGAAAAACGAAATGAAGTCTGATCTGAGATCATTTAAAGAAGAGTTCAAGAATAACATGAAACAGGAATTCTCCCAGTGTAAACAAGAAATACATGACAAACTCTCAACGAACACCAACGAAATTCAAAAACAGCAAGGCAGACTTACCGTTCAGTGAAAGCGCTTTTCTAAAGTTCTCCTGCGCACATGTGGCTGTGTTTAACACCGTAGCGGTTTCTCACGCGACGCCGTCTGAGGGCTCGAAGGTCACGCGTATTCAACAGAGGCCTCCTGCCAAGCCAGACATGTACTGAGACGTGTCTGGATTCTGTGTCTGGATTCCCTGAATCTTTTCACCATATTGCATTGAGAAATGTGATTTTTGAATTGTTTGAACATTTTCTCATGATATTTGGCACAAAGTGGCGAGCCATGACCCATCTTTGCCTGCAAAGACTGAGAAGCTCCTTTACACCTAATCCCGGTTCCCTCACCTATTGCCGACTCACCCGCTCACTGTACACTGTTTCAAAAGAGTTGGATAATCTAACCCTCATAATCTTTTCTCTGTTATTTAGCCTCTGTCCCAACTCTTGTGGAGTGTGTTGCAGCCGTCAATATCAACTTGTGTTTATATTTACTATATGTTGGTCAGTGAGAACATTGGAAAACTTTTCTTTGTACTTTTGTCAGTTAAAAAAAGGTTCAAGTGAATTAACAAATCACAGATTGTGAATTTTATTGCATTTTTACAAAATGTCCACACTTCATATTTCACTGGTTTTGTCCGTCCTTCTGTTAGACTCTCACACATGAATTATGTTGAATATCTGTCAGCTGTTAAATTTAACTACACAATTAGAGAATACCAGTTTAGCTCAACCAATCACCAAGCAAAGCTTCATTGCGTTCAGTCTGTGTGTAAAAAGTGTAAAATTAGCAATTAAAGAAAAAACACTTCAGCAAAATATGGTCAGGTCAAAGTGTCTGTGCAATTTTTTTATCCCAATTTTTTATAAATGACATGGTAGTCACTGTATGAAGAATATTTGTGTATAATATGTCACAGTTTACTTGATTTTGCTATCCTCACTTGCATAAATGAACTATAGTGTCCTGCACCCACTAGTAAAACAATATCAAAAATTAAATCTGGTGTCTGAATAATTTTAGGTTGGACTGTATATGAATATGGGCTATATGTGTTTACGCTCATGACGACAGGAGAAACTAACGTCTGCTAGTTTTACTGTGCGAATGGGCCATTATTATTACAGACGTCCTGTGGTAAAATGAACTCCTTGTAAAGCTAAGCCCGTCCGAATAGGGCTATAGACGTTTATGACTGTATCCTTCTGTGATTTGCTGTCGTCTTCTCTCAGTTTCTGACGGATGGGATGCTGGTTCGGGAGATGATGTCGGACCCGCTGTTGAAGAAGTACAGGTAAAACACCACCTGTCCGCCAGCGCTGAACCTCAGAGGTTTGTGACTCACACACGTGTGTGTTGTTTGGTTGTAGTGTGCTGATGCTGGACGAAGCGCACGAGCGGACGCTGTACACGGACATCACCATCGGCCTGCTGAAGAAGGTGCGCTGGGGCTTCTGTGGGGTGAGCATCTCTGTGGCGTCCCTCTGCTCATCCTCTCTCTCTCTCTCTCCACAGATTCAGAAGAAGCGGAGAGACCTGCGCCTGATCGTAGCCTCGGCCACTCTGGACGCCAAGGTGAGTCTGACCTCGGACCCCGTTTACAGGCAGCACATGTGGAAACGGTACTCCTTGTGTTCATGTTCATTTGGTTTGTAAAACTTTTAGATAGTCTTTTCCAGCATTTCAGCCTGGGACTAGACTCAAACCTGGCCTGTGAAACCGGGGGTGTAATATCTTACCAACCCCAAACTTTTCAAACCATATTATCAGTTGACACGGTTGTTGGTTGTGGAGCAGACGTGGTGATCCGATCATTTTAGATCGGTCTGTAACAGTCTGTGTGTTAATGTAGTCATCCTCATTTATATAGCGCTTTTAACAATGTAGATCGCCTCAAAGCAGCTTTACAGAGATAAACATATCATTGAAGGTAACAGAGATTGGTTTGGTTTTATAGCGGTTCTTGAATAATGTTATTTTCCAGCTAAAGTTCGTTTTGATGGATTCACTTCCGGTGAAATGATCATTTGTTATTAAACTAGAGGTTGGCTAAGACGACACCGTTCTCTCTAAACAGACTTTAAACTGAACCTGTGATAAACGCTGATGGCGTTCACATGCGCATTAAGAATCAATTCTATAGTTTGAATATGTGTGCGCAGGTTTGTAATTCCCTACAAACCATGCCTAAACAAACTACTTGTCTTGCCTATAAATTTTGATACAGAATTTTATTTTATTTGATCACTTGGTACGCGAACCGAATGTACTAATGATGCTTCTCGCACAGAAATTTCAAGATTTCTTCAACCTGAATGAGACTGGAGACCCAAATAAAGACACCTGTGGCATTCTGACGGTCGAGGGCCGAACGTTCCCGGTGGATATCTTCTACACTGTCAGGTGTTTACACCGTTGCGTTCACACATGGTCAGGGTCTCTGAGCTGAGTGATGAAACTGAGGAGAGTGTGTTTGTGTCCAGTCCTGTGCCAGACTATGTGAAGGCGACGGTGGAGACCGTGCTGAAGATCCACGAGACCGAGGAGGACGGAGACGTGCTGGCGTTTCTCACAGGACAGGTGTGTGTGTGTGTGTGTGTGCTGGGATGCTGCATTTATTTGATTTATTTAGGTCCTAAAAACGTAAAATGTGATTTAAAAAAACTGTGATGCTCCCTTGATTTTGCCGTGTAGAAAGTGCTGTCGTGGTTTACTCACCCTCGTGTCGTTCCACACACACAACACTTTCGTTCATCTTCAAAAGATATTTTAATGAAATCCGAGAGACCATTGAAAGTCTATTCACCCTAAAACATCAAGAGATCATAAAATAAATCCATATGAATGGAGCAGTTTAATCCAAGTTTATAACCGCGACCCGCGCATCACTACTGTCAATAGCATTATGATGTAAAAATACTAATTTATTTAGTTTTAAGTGAAACCATTGTAATCATGATAGTATTCCCATATTTTACAAAATGTAACTGCAATTTGATTTGTTTATTAAAGTAACTGTAACAAATTAGTTACAAGATTTTTGTACCTGATAACGTAAAGCAGTTGTGTGTATTCTGTTACTCCCTGCATATACACATTGATTAGCGACACACATCGAGTACTCGCGTATGGGAAGTGTGTTCAACTCAAGATAAACATGGCCATTGACTGTTTGAACAGGAGGAGGTGGAGAAGGTGGTGTCTCTGCTCCAGGAACAGGCGCGCACCCTGTCCCGCTACGGGATGAAGAAGCACCTGTGTGTGTTGCCCATGTACGCGGGCCTGCCCTACAGCGAGCAGATGAGGGCGTTCGAGAGGATGCCCCCCACTGTCAGAAAGGTGACCACAGAAACTAACGACAGGGATGCAACCATAGCCATCAGTGCCATCTACTGCACTATTCCCAGTTCAGCCTGAGTCAGACATCACTGATGGAAACACGTCATCAGTGCCGAATCGGCTCTTCTTGACGAGAGTTCGTCTCTGATGTTTTTCAGGTGGTGGTCGCAACCAATATAGCGGAGACCTCCATCACCATCAACGGCGTGGTGTTTGTGATCGACTGTGCGTTCGTGAAGCTGCGGGCGTATAATCCCCTGACCGCGATCGAGTCTCTGATCGTGACGCCCATCTCTAAAGCCTCCGCCTGCCAGAGAGCCGGCCGCGCCGGGAGGAACCGCGCCGGGAAGTGCTTCCGCCTCTACACCGGTACCCACACCTACATATAATATATCACATGTGGTTAATATGGTAAAAAAAAATGTATTGCATATATAATAGAATTATATATAGTCAACTAATTAAATAGGACCCATGATGCATGTTTATCTTTCTTTAGTGTGTAATGTAACAAAGTCCCTCCAGTGGGAGTTCTCCTCTATATCAGTGTCAGTGTTTCTGAACTCCTGAAACGCCTCCAGTGTAGTCGTGAGTTTCTTCCGGGAACGAACACGTCACTATATTCCTCATTATAATAATTCATACGCAGAATAAAGGGGCGAGACCTGGTTGAGTGAGTTGGTTGTGTGTTAAACTGGCGGTTATGGTAAGAGCGGGACATTTCCCAAACACACTCGAAGCGCTCGACCAATCACAACACACTGCTGCAGCCGACCAATCAGAGCACAGTGTGCTTTTCAGAAGGAGGGGCTTCATGACAGGAACTGAACAGAGCGTTACTGACAGACTGGGAAGAGAGGAGCTGCAACGATGGAGAATATGGGGAACATAATGTGTTTTTGAACATTCAAGCATGAAAACCTGTTCTAGTAGAGCTCAAAAACAACATCAAGACTTTGATAAAGGGCATATTAGGTCCCCTTTAAATATATTAAACTTCCGGTTCCACTCAAAAAGACTGAAAAAAATCATTTCAAATCATAAGGTTGCGCTATAAAAATGATTATCTGTCAGTTTGACTGAATGTTTTACTTTCCGACATCAGGAGAATAACATAACGCTTGGCATTGTAACAGAAATTAACCTGTTAACTGGCACCCCCCTTTTTTTTGCATAGACATAAAAATCACTATCCAAACTTAAATGGTTGTAATTCAGGAATGCTTTGGAATTTAGACCTATGGCTGGTCTTGTTTTAAAGAAGACATTTTCCAGATTATTGTAGAAGTCTAGAAATTGTAAAAAATGAAACAGAAAAAAAGTTATATAAGTTTGAGTTTATGAAATTGTGTAATGTAAAAATATAATGATTAATATTTTATATAAAATATATATATATATTACAAAATATATTTTACTCTAAAACTGCAAGAAAATTAAAGTCAAATATCTGAACAAGTTGTATTCCAAATTTTAGGTTGATATCTCAAAAAATGAGCTTTCAGTGAGATTTTATTCGGGCGCAGTACCCAACATTTTCACTAGGTGAACACCAGACTCCATTACTGCCCATATAAGGGCGCCTCCATTTTCATATGTTTTGAGTGATCTGAACCATGTATTTCCATAATTTTCACACAATTTATGAAGTAGACATCCTATTCAGAAGTAGTATGGGTGGTTTGGCAGTATTTGATTTGAATTAAACCTCTAATAAATGCATAAAGACTACGTTATAGCGTTATAGCTCGCAGCCGCATTACAAATCGAGAATCCATACATTTTTCTTTATATTTAAAACATTTTCAGATCTTTTTTTCTCATAAAATGGAATTGGTGTTATTTTTTGAACTCATGGCATGAAAACAAACTGAGGTTTCTACCAATCTTTCATGATTTTTCATGTTTATTGTTATTTCAAAATAAAGGCCTAAATACTCCTAATGAATATGAAATATTCTTGTTGCAAATTGATAAATTTCTGCTCCTCTGTAATATATTTTAGATAACAGCCACCAAATATGAAAACTAGAGATTTTAAGCTTTCAAATGATATATAGTTTGGCAATATTACTTTAGGTTTTTACTAAGATATTATTGTTTTAAACATGCAATGGCAAATGGGCCCGCCGGCAAATCAGTTCTCACGTTTGCAGTTACACGTTCAGCCACTAGTCCCCGACACTGGCAACACACAACCCAAACGAGCACATGGAGAATATTGTGCAAAAGTTCATTTATTTCAGTAATTCAACTTAAAAGGTGAAACTAATATATTATATAGACTCATTACATGCAAAGTGAGATATTTCAAGCCTGTATTTGTTATAATTTTGATGATTATGGCTTACAGATAGCCTGGTAATACCAAACTCTGCTACTTCGCTTTGCTTCATAGACCGAGTCTGGCATGTCATCAATGAAAAGTGTTTTCTTTATTGCGGGGGGGCGCTTGTCTGAAGTATAAAATCATTGGTTACCCGTAAGCCAATCACATAACGTCTGGTTATGACGTGTGTTATTCGCCAGCTCAGCCGCATTGAACTTCCACTGTAAACACATGTATGATGCGAAAACGAAACCATCGAGCGAAATACCGGAGTGAACATGGCTGACCGAGTTTTGCTGCCTCCTGAACCTGATCCTCCATGAGTGCAACCAAGGGGAACACAATCACAACTATCGCCTTGCCCAGGTAATAGTTGATAAATTAAACTTTTCCCAAAATCTGTCGGGAGTAGCGCCACAACATCTCCTCCATTCAAAATGTTTAACAAACACTCTTCTTGTTCAGCCTTCAGTTTGGAAATGCCGGGAATATTCTCCACAACGGAGCGAATTGCATCCCGTGTCTCCATATCCGCGGTCACAATCTTAAACTCGGCGCTTAGCATCTACGTCACGGCTCTCAGCCCGTCCTCTGTTCGTTGATTGGCCGGCTGTTTTCAGGTCGGAGGAAAAATGTCGATGTCTCAGACTGAGGCCCTGTCCCAAATGGCGCACTTCATGCGGACTTTCGTTCTCGTGGACTTAAATTGCGTGTGCTCGCCGAGTCTACGAGTCCGTAGGCCGTCCCATTTAGCATTTTAACGCTCTGAAGTGTGCTCAGCAGCGCCCCCTGTGGACCCTTGAAGCGGTCTTAGATGCAGGCTCCACGCACTTTAACTACCCAGGAATCCTTGCGAAAGGCCAATCAGACAACGGATGGGAGGAGATGTCGCCCACGGACAATTGTTAACATGGCTGAGAAGAAAATATTTAAGTGTAATTATCATTACGGTTTTTATGACAAGTTTATACAAACATTATGATCATCGACCAGTGGTTGATGTCTCAAACATAGGCTAATAATAGCGAGCTGAATAATACGATCGCATTATGATTCATTAAATAAATAGAACCGAATGTCAGGGCTTTACTGAGTCATATGTAAACACAACAACAATAGGCAGCATATTTCCCCGAACCTGTCGCTCCTGTCCATAACAACAATCAGACCGTCTTCCTGTTTCCGGCGTGACGATCGAGTCTGTCCCAAAAACACCTCTCAATGCGCCCTCGCGGACTCGCGCTAAGGGCCCTATAGGTCTGCACTACATGACGTCACCGAAGTGTGGACTCTGAGGAAGTCCACAAGTCCGGAGTGTGCCATTTGGGACAGGGCCCGAGTACAGAAGCGAACTGGAATAGAGCGGAAGTACGAAGTCTGACAGCTTATGAAAACCCCAAAGTCAAAACTAGAATATTGATTAAGGTTTTCATATCTGTAAGCCATAATCATCACAATTATAACAAATAAAGGCTTGAAATATCTCACTTTGCATGTAATGAGTCTATATAATATAGTAGTTTCACCTTTTAAGTTGAATTACTGAAATAAATGGACTTTTGCACCATATTCAAATATTCCACCTGTAGTTGCATGACTCTTAAACATTTGAATTCTCATTTTAAATTGAGGAATGGGATTTAACAGTAATGGTTACTGCCGTTCCACAGCACTGTAGGCCTACTCTACTGTAGTGAACTGCTAGTATATAGACAAAGGTGTGTTTTGTGCATCAGAGGAGGACTTTGAGAAGCTGCCGGCGTCCACGGTCCCCGAGATGCAGCGCTCGAATCTGGCTCCGGTCATCCTGCAGCTCAAAGCCCTGGGCATCGACAACGTGCTGCGCTTCAGCTTCCTCTCCGTGAGTGTGTCCCACCGATGCATCAACACATTACGCCCCGCTGTTGTCCACGTGTGCATGACTCCGTGTGCTCGTCCCGCAGCCTCCTCCCGCTCAGTCCATGGTCCAGGCCCTGGAGCTGCTCTTCGCTCTCGGAGGTACAGCACCCACACACTCTCTCCCACTGCCGCGCGGGCTTGTCTGCGTGTGATCTCACTGCATGTGGTTCTGACAGGTCTGGATCAGTACGGCCGCCTCACGGACCCGATGGGGGTGCGGATGGCCGAGTTCCCGCTCAGCCCCATGTTCGCCAAGATGCTGCTGGAGTCGGGGAACTTCGGCTGCTCCAAGGAGATCGTCACCATCGCGGCCATGATGCAGATTCAGAACCTTTTCACGGTGCCACACAACCAGAGGAAAGCAGCTGTACGTCGGCTTTCGCTGCCGTTTTCTCTGCTTTATGAACCGGTTTAATGCATTTGTACCGATAGGCCGTGTGTCTGTGTGTCGCAGGCGCGGGAGCACCGGAAGTTTGCCGTGGCGGAGGGGGATCACCTCACAATGCTGAATGTGTATGAGGCTTTCATAAAGGTAACGGACCTCACTCAAATTCACTTGTACCTCAATGGAAAATGGTTTGTTTTAGGCGCTGTCACGATTCCTCGATTTAATTCGAGATCCTTGATTGCAATTCACCCGTGCCGATTAACGGCGGGCTCCACGGACGAGAATCTGTGAACCGCATTATTACACTGTTCTCTAAGGCTGTACAATGGATTAAAACCATTTAAATAGCATAGTTCTTTCTTAAAGGGTTAGTTCACCCCAAAATGTAAACTCTGTCAGTAATTACTCGCCCTCATGTTGTTCAACCCCGTAAGACTTTCGTTCATCTTCAGGACACAAATGAAGATATTTCTGATTAAATCTGAGAGCTGGATCACTCCTCCATAGGCTTCTTAAGGGATTGAAACTGGCCGGCCCAGAAAAGTTATTAAAGACATCGTTAAAATAGTCCGAGTGACTACAGCGGCTCAACCTTAAGTTTATCAAGCGACGAGAATACTTTCTGTGCGCAAAAAACAAACAAAAATAACGACTTTATTCAACTATTCGTTTCCTTCTCTGTGGGCCTCGAGATAGCTCACGTAGCGCAGCGCTTCTGGGTTGTATAAGATTGAGCCACTGTCGTCACTCGGACTATTTTAACAATGTCTTTAATAACTTTTCTGGGCCGGCCGAAGATGAACGAAGGTCTTACGGGGTTGAACAACACGAGGGAGAGTAATTACTGACAGAGTTTACATTTTGGGGTGAACTAACCCTTTAATAAGATAAGTTTATATATATATATATGAATGAATGAATGAATGGCTTTGTTTCGGACATGTAAAAGAAACAATAATAATAATGCAATAAAAGCCAGGAGTGGTAAAAGTACTCAAAAGTTATACTCGAGTAAAAGTATATATACCTAAATAAAAAATTACTCCAGTAAAAGTAGCAAGTCCTCCATTCAAACATCACTTGAGTAAAAGTACAAAAGTATCCGATTTAAAACGTACTTAAGTACAGAAAGTAAAAAGTAAATATTCAAATTAACTGTAAATATCAATAGGCAGATCAATAGTTTTGGTAGTGATATGCAATGTTTTATTTGAACAGATGATACGATTAGATACTGCAATTAACAATTTGTTAGCTAGCTGTTTACAAGGCACATTTTAATATGAAATCACCTGGCTAACAATAGTAACATTAAAGTAACACCAGGTTACTTTTGCTCTCGGGGTGGGGTCCCCCTACAGTTGGGAAACAGTATTGTCCTCTAGACCTCTACTACTGTCGTAAACTCTGTCATCCTACATGCACGTGCAATTGTTGACAACCAGGATAGCCCTGAACACTGTAGGAGGAGGTCACATGCAGGTGTTCTGCTTGCGTCTTGTCTGAAATGTCTTCATCCCAGGTACAGTGGCATATATTTCAGCATGTCATATGAATATAATTTCATGGGTTTTATTTTTTTCTAACGACAAATGATCGCGATGATCACGTTTACAAGCCAGCGTCATTATAGTAGCCTAGTCTATTGGTTACCGTTTTACTGGATCTATATGATACTTCAATGCAATGTTTGAGTGGTTGATAATAACCATATATCGTCAATATTATAATATCAAGCTACCATAAATGAATCTGCAAATTTTACAAATCGATTTGCATTATAGCTTGAGGCAAGACAAATAAACAAATATCACTGACATGTTAGGTATCCTAAAATATGATTTTGTACATCTTATATATTTACTTGCAAGAATGTAGACCCTACCAAACTTGTACAAGCCGTTTAGACATAGGCTTTCATTTGACTTTTTGTTTTGTTTTTTGCCAAGTCTGCATCGGTCGGGCACCCCTCCTCCTCCTTCAGCTCACGCCAGCGAGAAAATGCTGGCCCAATTCTGTTCTGCCTTTAACGCGATCACTTTCTCTTTTTCTCTTTTTGCTTTGCTCCGATAAAACCTTTGCTTTCTTCTTTTTCTGTGCTGCTTCGGCCATGACTATAACATTTGGCTCGCACATCCGATTTTAAGGAAGTGGGGGTGGTGGTGGAAGTGACGTATATGCCGTAAAGCAGTCGAATTTTGTAGTTCTCTTTGTTCGCCGGTTACTACCCGAAACCCGAAGTTTAAAAGTACGATTAAAAACGCTACAGACCCCGTCAGGCTATGGCAGACGTGTCATTCAACCTATTGTAAGTCGATGTACCATCACAAGAGACTTGGAAATATATTATGAAGGTTGAAAAGTTACCTGGTGTTACTTTAAAGCAACACTAAAGAACTTTTCCTCTGCGGTCCCCCTACAGGTTAGAAGCGGCATTATCCGTTACCGCTGTCATAAATAATTTAGCCTACCGCAGTCTACTGTCGCACGCATGCTCGCTGTTTATCCACTGTTTATCCAGCACCGGCTTTAGAGTGAACGTTGTCCAATTGTAACGCTTGCCGTAAAGCAAGTCAAATTTGTAGTTTTCTTATGTCTCATTCGAACTACAGAAACGCGACCCAATCTGGCAAACTTACATAGTGTCTTCTAGCAGATATAGGACCACAAAGCGAAGGCAGAAGTGCCCTTCAGCCTGTTACGACTTGATGAACCGCTGAAACGATTTTGGAAACATTATTTTAAGGTAAAAAATCTTCTTTAGTGTTGCTTTAACGTCAACTTACCTCAATATGTTTTCTCAGATTTGAGGGTGAAGTTTTGAATGCTGAAATTTAATTCACCCGTGGCAGGCAAAGAAGACATTTCAGCCGATATTAATCTCCCTTGACTTCAGTGAATTCGAACATATCATTGATATATGGCCGTGAGTGATCCCTGTCGGAAATCTTGGGATCATTGCTGGCAGCGAGAGCTGCACCTTCACCGGTTTCTGCAGTCAATGGCGAACTGACTGCTATGTGAGCGTATGCTAGCAAAGAGCTTGCGCGTTCTTTTTTTCAAAAGAAAAACAAGTTTTTCATTGGTTTGGAAAGCCAGTGTAATAAATACTTGGAGCGGTCATGGGGAAATGTATCAGAGTAAAAAGTAAACTTTGTCTTTAAAATTGTAGTGGAGTAAAAGTGAAAGTAGATGCAACTAAAACATACTCAAGTAAAGTACAGATCCCCGAAAAAAATACTTAAGTAAAGTAACAAAGTATTTTTACTTCATTACTTACCACCACTGATAAAAGCTAATGGACAAAAACAATACTCAACAAAACAGAAAGCAGAACAATGTTAACCTATACATGTCCGTAAAGGAGTAGGAAGAAGCATAAGCTTATTTAATCCTAGCCCTTCTCCTCTACTCGTTAAAATCATCCGGTTGGCCGATCGTCTTAATCCGTTTACCTAAGAAATACAAAAATAACATACATATTTACCTATGTTTATATCCACCATAAAATATAAATTGTGTAAAACATAAATATATATATAAATAAACTGTGAGAACACCTAGTCAATGACCTTCTTTATCCATATATAAGTGTATACACATAAGTAATATAATATAATACAATAATGAAATGTCTACAAATGAAATGAACTAAACTAAAAATGTTTAGTTTTATTTGACCATACAACTGTAAATCTGAATCTCTTCATTTTCAAATGTTAAACCATCAAGCTTGAAGCCCTTAGCTTTATCTCGATGACTTGCGCAGCCCTGATTTGAGTCATCTTGAGGCGTCCTGTTTGAGAACCACAGATTTGTGATGTTGGGTTGCTTGTGTTGGTGTTCTGATGTTTTTTGGCGCCCCTGACCCGGCACGTGTGTTCCCGCAGCACCAGAAGAGTTCGCAGTGGTGTCAGGATCACTTCCTCCACTATAAAGGTCTCCTGCGGGCCGTGGCCGTGCGGGAGCAGCTGCGACACCTCCTCAACAAGTTTAAGGTGCCTCGCACCTCCAGCGAGGGTGAGCTCTCCTCTCTCGGATAGGCAAGCTTTATCCTCAGGCGGCGTCATTGGTTTCTCAACACCGTAGGGGTGTAACAATATATGGTGACGCAATATACGAAAATGCAATATGTATCGTGGATAGTGGCTATTATGTTTTGTGTATAGTTTACCCAGAAAAAACGTTTTCTTAAATTATATGCTCAAATTTTTTATTTTTGTTACTGATTTTTAATTTTTTTTTATGTTGCGGTTCAGGGCTTCCATAAACTGCTATATATAATGTTGAATATAATGTATAATAATGCAGTGGGGGAATATTTGTTGGTCCTGATGTTAGCAGTAAAAGTGGCCAACATTATTTTACATATATCTAGTCAGTGAAAGAGCGCAAGCATATTCATGTGGAATAATTCAGTATTTTCATCTTTAGAATCATGAATATTGTTATTCTGGTGTCTCTATTGTCCTGTGCTTTGGGTTTCCAGCACAAGTCCAAGACTATTCACACACACACACACACACACACACACACAATACACACACACAATGAAAAAACTCATTTAGCTTTTTAATCAACAGTACATTTTGTGTTCAATTTTTCTTGGAGTATCGCCATAATATGGTATGGTGAGTTCAGCATGGTGTGTGTCGTCACACCCCAGGGATTGTCGTATGAGTTAGAGATGTGTGCCTCTTCTGTCTGCCCTGAAGGTGACCCGGATGTGATTCTCCGATGTATCGTGTCTGGGTTTTTTGCGAACGCCGCCCGAATGCATCACTCCGGCTCCTACAGGTCGGTTCCCTCCTCGGTTTACTCCTCTTCATCAGTGGTAGTCACCTGACTTTTCCAGCCATGTTTGCATGTCTCTGTTCTTCTTGTAACGCAGGACTCTACGTGACGACAGAGAGCTGTTCATCCACCCCGATTCGGTGCTGTTTGGAGAAAAGCCCCCAAAATGGTACTCGTGTTACCCTAATGGGTCAAACCGTGCTTTACTCCAGTTCGCTTCTGTTCCAGCCGATAGTAACCCAGCTGTTTGTCTCAGGGTGGTCTTCAACGAGGTGGTTCAGACCAGCAAGTACTACATGCGGGACGTGACCGCGGTGGAGTCGTCCTGGCTGGTGGAGCTGGCGCCGCACTTTTACAAACAGGCCAAGGTGAGACCAACAGGAGTCACGTTTATTAAAGTTTGCCCACTGCTGTTCAAAGGTTTGGTACGGAAGCGTATTGCATTCACTTGAAGAGGAAAATGTCATTTTTCATGAAAAAAAAAGTTTTTGCTCCGTTTTTATGAATTAACGAGTTAATTGTCTCAGAATTATGAGAGACAATTTTCTTGAAAAACATTTTTTTCACTCTGTTTTTATGAATTAACGAGTTACTCGTAATTCTGAGATAATTAACTCGTTCATTCAGAAAAACAGAGTAGATTATTTTTTTTTACTCAAGTGAATGCAATACGCTTCCGTAGTTTGGGGACGCTAACATTTATTAGTCTCTTCTCACCAAAGCTGCATTTGTTTTTTTTAGTTAAAACGGTAATGTTGAGAAATATTATTTCAAATTGAAAGAACTGTTTTCTATGTGAATAAATGTTCAAATGTAATTTATTCCTGTGATCAAAGCTGTATTTTCAGCATCATTACTCCAGTCTTCAGTGTCACATGATCCTCCAGAAATCATTAAAATATGATTTCTGAAGTAATCAATAAAATACACTTTTATTGCTTTAACGCGTATTGATTTCCTTTGGATGGAAGTCCACATATAATCAGGGTTTTACTGAATAAAAGTACAAAGGAAATCCCTTTAATAATGGGAGCATGAGTCTGACGAGTGAAATTTGCTGCAGGTAATGCTTTTCGCATGCCTTTCAATATTTTTCATGTCCTGATGATGTCACACACAGTGTTGGGGAACGTTGCTTTTAAAAGTAATGCGTCATTCAAACGCAGATTCATTCAGAGATAAAGCAGAAGTGAGTCATTCCTGGGAACGATTCCTTCAAAAACAGTAGCGAAACTAAAGCGGTGTTGCTCGGAGAGGCTCTACTGTTTGGGACTATTTTCAGAAGCAAAATAGAGGAAAAACTGACAATATTGTGTCTAAAATGTAAGCCTATTAACTTACTGTTTCTTGAATTGTTGTATAAAATCAATATATCAATACATCAGCACGTTTGCAAATGTGATTTTGATTATAAATATTAAAAACAAGAACTTATACGCAGACTTTCTTGCTACATATCTTGGTTTTTGGACGCATTTCTATTCGTTTCGGTGGCATTTTTGCCCCAAGCTAAGTTTCCGCCCCTGGTGTGTGTAATCTGATTATGTTACCTTGTGGTCACACAACACTACAGAAATAAAAGTGGTGCCCCCTGTGTTCCTCTCACCTCTCTCGCAGCACGGGTCTCTGAACAGCAAACGGGCCAGGGTCTTCTGAGCGCCTGCACTCGCGGACTCGGCTCTCCTGAACCACAGGCCACAGTTAAAGGATCCACACATGCGGACTCTGGGTGTTTATTGCAGCTGCAAGGCGAAAAGGAACACTGTGTTATTTTGTATATACAAATGTATGACATATTTATGCTGTCATGGTCATCTTTGTATTATTTAATAGCTTTTTAGTGAAGGTTGAGAGCCATTGGGAAAACGTGACTGTGATTTTCTTGATTAGTTTGAGAGTGAGAGAATGACTGGATGGATGGATTGATTACAGATGTACAGCTTTACAACATCGCACGCACACCTACCCTCAATAACAACCGGAATATTATTATAATAAGCTATTTTCCCCCCCCCCGTTTTATTTTTTCAAAACTCTCATCGGAGAAATACTGTGTAGCTCAAACGTAGTGGCCTTTTAACCATTATGTGCCAAATATTATAAAACCATAGAACATTTCCTGTTGTATATGGAATGTGCAAATAATTGTAGTTACACTGTAAGCATGTGACAAAAAAGTGCCATTTTTTTATATTATATATGTATAGGTTCCTAAACGGTAGCCTTGTGCACCTCTGGCCTAAAAAACTGTGTAAGTAGGTGTAATTATTCATTTAATCGTATAGTGTAATTTAGGAAAGATCAGCCATGACTAGTTTGAGTGGTGAGTTAATAGCACAGTGAACGAGACGCCTCAGGGAGGAGCTTATTTCCTACTACAGTCAAATATTGAACATGGATGATAACAAAATGATTTCTGGGCGTGGCTTTAACAGGAAGGCTGAGGTGCCAATCATGCGAGGAGGCGGAGCCTCGGTACTATAATGTTTTGGCTTTCAGCAAATGGGCATTTTTCACCAATTTGATTTTACTGTGACTAATTGGTTCCTTTTTCTCCTTTATTATCTCCTTTATTACGTCCGAGAAAAAAAAAAGTGGTTAAAATCTACTTTCACGGTAACTTTGCCAAATGTCTTCAAGACAATATCCGTGGTGTTTGTGTATAGTCGGTTCAGTAGCTGCCTGTGAGTAGTGTAGATTTAGCTGTATATGATCGCAGTTTAAACGTTCTCGCATGTCTTTAAACATTAGTAAACCTCGAGTAGTTTCACAGCAGTGCAGTGTTTTGATGAGGAAATCATAAATAAGCTGATGTAAATGTGCAACATGTAGTTACTCGCCGCTCTGTGAAGCATAAAGTCAATAAAGTCTTATGTTCGTGGTAAATGAATGTGCAGTAGTTTGTGGGAAAAGGTATGTGGTTTTGATTTGTTCAAAATGTGGCGCTAATGAAGCGGGAGTCTTCCAGAAATCCACGTCATCATCAGTATAATTATGTTATGTAATACGGTATGTGATCTGGTGGTCCTTTGATGGATACAGCAGGTCCGAATTTGCATCATCATAACAGTGAATGTTTTTTTGCGTACAGATAATGTAGCCTATATAATTTTTTGTCATGTTTCGGGATTTAACACAAATAAAACGTATAAAAGCCTCCTACATCATAGATGCACGTGTGTGTGATTGACCGGAAGGTGTCAGTGTTGGTCAGGAAAACACGAGTCGGACCGAGACAAACTCAGGTCAATATCATCTGATCTTCAACAATCCTGTTTTCTAGCTTGTGCTCATATATATGTACGTCTCATATAGGCTATAATAACCGCATTGAGTCTGAATCTAAACTACGGGTGTCTGTAAGATTGTTCTTTTATGATCAATACTGCATTCATTTTATTTTTGTTAACGGCAGTGATACAATGAAATATTAGGATATAATTTAAATTATATATATTTATTTACTTTAAAATATAAAGTATTCCTGTTATCATTAGTTAGTACCGCGTGACTACCTAATTAGGTAGTATGCCGCGTGTCACGTGATCCTTCAGAAATCCTAATATGCTGATTTGCTGCTCAATAAACATTTCTGATTATTATTAATTTTGAGTTGTGCTGCCTCAGATGTGTGGAAACTGTATTATTAGGCTACATTGTTTCAGAATTCTTTGGTTTAAAAGAACAGCTTCTCTTTAAAACAGACATCTTTGTAACATTATAAATGTCACTTACTGACATCTTTTTGATCAATCTAATGCATCCTTGCTGAATAAAAGTATTCATTCTATTTAAAAAATATCTTACTGACTCCAAACTTTTGAACGGTAGTGCATTTTCACTTGTTACATAACAGCTATAGCAAAATATGATATAATTTTAGTTTAGAAGACAACAAAACCACGTTTGGAGTCTTTAATTGTGCTTCTTTATTTGAACGTTTATTTACAGTTTTAACTATTAGTGGCATAATGAGCTATATCAAAAATGTATTTCCATGTTGTATAGAGTTATAAACATGCCTTTGATGTTGTCTGAAAATATTTGCATATACATTAATTATAAAAATGAATAATCCTCAGTGTTTGTAGTGATGAAAAGAAGTGAAAGCATCGATGTATAGGCCTACTGTATGTAAATATATGCAACGTGTTTTTATTTC